CTGCGCCCTGCCCACTCTGTTGCCAGATTTGAGAGAAATAAGCAACCAGGTCTATGAAAACAAGCCCTACACATACATGATGTTGTGTCATTTGAAACCAAAACTAAGGCCTCAGGATGACTTTAAGACTTGAACATGGGCATTTTTGTTTTGTAACAATTAATAATAAAAAAAAAAGTATTTAAAAAAAAAAGAAGAAAAAGAATCCCGATCCCCGACTTTTTTTCTCCCGATTCCGATCTTTTGAAAATCACGTGATCGGCTCCGATCCCCGATCACGTGATCGGATCGGGACATCTCTAATTTTCACGACAATCAACAAGATTCGATCCGAGATCAAATCCAACATTTTCACAACACATCCCACCTCACTAACTCTACAACACCTGTCATGTTGTTCACGCGGGGGGGTTTCTTCCTCCAGCACAGAAACAAACAAGCTTATAATGCAGCAGCTACCCCAGGTCACACCAACACGCAGGGCAGATGAGACAATATGGAAATCAATATCATATATTGTGCGTAGGACTTGTAAATACTGTGTTGTCCACCTGAGAGGAGGTTGGGGTGTTGCATTGATTGAACTCTGGTCAGTGGCCCGCAGAGGGAGATGCCGGATAAATGAAATTGATTTCAGACATCCTTTGGTGAAGAAGAGGGACCTTTAGAACCAGACAGTCCTCACTGATTCTCCAGCTCTCTGTTGGCTGTACTGTAACCAACAGGAGAGAGAGAAGGGCGATACAATGATTTATCACCTTTCAATGGACGATGTTGTGATGCTATCCTTTATCCAGATATTGTGATACACAGCTAACACATTTAAGGATGTAAGCCACATTTGGCATTTGTCAAGAATTGGACAATTGGAGTTTTTGGGGGGGATTAGTCTCAGCTTTGGCTTCTGCTTAAAGGGTACAGAAATTGTAGTTTGGAAATAGTGTTGTTCCCCTTGTAAAGTGTCTAAATGAAAAAAGGTTTTGTGCTTTTTCCTATTGAAAGAAACAAATGAATGTATAGATAAATAAAAACCAGGGCTGCACGATATTGAACAAATGACTAATTGCAATTTTTTTGGACTGATATTGCTATTGCAGTGTTATTCACGATATTAGAGGGAAGGATTTCTATCATTCTCATTATGATTTAAAAATATATGAAATCATTATGGGTTGATTTGTTAAGAAGATTTGTACCAAAGGCTGAGATATCTCTGCGTACCCCCCTAAAGCTGGATTTCAACACATAGTTAGCCTTTAACAAATATCATGCTTCCTTCAGTTTGAATATTGCAATGTCGCGATTGGCTGTTGATCCACGGCCAGTTTAACACGAGTCATGATGTGCATTCATGGTACAGTTTGCTTTTTAAGTCGTGTGTGTGTGTGTGTGTGTGTGTGTGTGTGTGTGTGTGTGTGTGTGTGTGTGTGTGTGTGTGTGTGTGTGTGAGCGAGACAAAAAAACAAAACAGAGCCTCCCAACCATATTTTGATCCCATATTTTGTTTGCATACTTGTATGAGAGGGAGTCTTCTATCTGGGTGTATATCTTTCCATAGTACGTTGAATCAATATGAGTTATTCAGATATCGGCTTGTTTCCTGTTATTGACAGATCTGCGGACATGTGTACACTTATAGCTTTTTTAAGCTCTTCGTATTAATTGGATTTCTTGAATTGGATATTATTCCTGCTGGTGGCCCTAGGAAAAAGGTCAGGGGGTCAAAAGTTGAGCGACAACCAGTTTTAATCCCCACTGAAGCGCAACGATGTTTATTCCTCTGCTCTAATCAATCAATACACACTGCAGTACCGATTGACCATTTTAAACACTGGAACCATTTCTGCTCAGGAGCTTCCTGCTTTTATTTTGGCATAAAATACTGAGTTTAGTGATCAAACTTGTCACCTGTCACCTGAGTCTGTCAAGCCGGATGATGGAGAGGTCAGCTTCTTTGTATCGTGGACTGCCACTCAATCACTGTCAATGTCAGCACTTGCATAATTTGTCTATCACACACACAACCGCAAACACACACCAAACCTTCATAAGTCCCTGTTGTTTG